AAAAAAAAAAAAGGAGAAAAAGGTAGATTACTCTGTCTAATGTTGTTGTCCAAACCTTGGAAAGTGATGATTTCAAACACTGGTACTGGGAACGACAAAGCAGAGAAAAAACAGTTGCCTGGGTATCCTGAGTATTTTGCAGCATAACACACAATACATCGATAGAGGAAAAGAAATAAATCATAAAAGGTTTTTCTAGAAAGATAACCAGAGAAACAATATTTTAAATATTAAATATTAGATAGGTATTTTACATGAGAAAGCTTTGTTAAAATTGAAGCCTATTGGAGGATATAGTACATTTTGGAAAAGTATATCCCAATATGAAATATCAATTATTTAGCAAGTTTAAAATACAACAGAGAAATTACAATTATATAAAAGAGTGTATTTTTTTTAGGGTATAAAAATAATTGGTCTCAAGTGTCTTTCTCACTACAATGAAATTAGATGATTTCATTAATGAGGCAATTGGCTTCCTTCAGTGTAACAACTAGCTTATCTTCCTCCAGATATTTTGTTGAATGGAAAAGCAGAATTGAGTTTTGATAAAATTCACTCACCTTGTTTTTATTAGCACCCTTGGCCAAAACTATACATTCATTTCACACATGTATAACATGGATATTTATAATATTGGTTTGAGTATTTTTAGTTTTTCAGAGTTTCATTTTGCAAAAGGTTACATGCTCTCATTTGTACCCCTAAGAAAAATTGAATTATTTTTTATATTTAAACATGTATTGAATCCTCCTGTTTCACTGAGTGAAAATGAAATTAACTATTCATAAGAACCAGGCCCAAGCAATTACCAGTGTGAAAAGCTGAGATCTGTTTCTCTGTGTATAATCTTAGGTGAATCATGGCACAGTTTGGTCAGATGCCGTGAGAGTCTGGGATGATGGGAATATTTATTTAGCAGGTCAGATCTTCATTAGACATTATTTTCAGTCACTATCCGTTTGGATCCAAATCAAGCTTCACTCTCAAAAGTAAATAAATCCCAAATATGGAGTGTAACAAGTATTTGCAGCAACACATTTTTGAAACATTTGTTTTCCTACCAGGTGAAGTACTGGAGAAGACTGAGGAGCGACTTGTTTATGGGATAGAGTACAACAGCACCCTTTTGGAGTGCACCCCTAGGACCTTACAAGCAAAAGTAATCTGGCTTGTCCAGAGAGCACATGAAACTAAGAAGGAGGAGGTAAATATTCTTCTATACTAACTTTTTTTTTTTTTTTCAATAAAAGAGCCTGCTGTTAGGAATATTACATCTCCACTGAAAGGCCTGTCAACAGTTGCTGAAACGTGTGTGTGTCAGGGAAAAATCATTATGTTCATCTGGTCTCTTGAATTAATAGACCTGAGAATTTCATCTGGTGTTTGCATTCAGCGTCTTGAATGCAGATGTTAGAAATTTAGTGAAGATCTTAAGATCTCAAAACAAAAGAGAATCCACCACTTTTCTTGGTATGTTATTGCAGGGGTGAAATGTGAACATATTCCTCCCAATGTTAATCTAGCTTAACATCCATTCATTCCTGCTGTCCCATCTGTGGCATTACAGAATCTTCTGCAAATGAGTGTTGGTGGATTCTCTGCCTCTTTTACATATATTTTCCTATTATGAAAATGCTCCATAAGTGTTATTATATTTATTCCTCAATACCTCTCTAAGACACATCATTGTATCTATCCCCATTTAGTATGTGGAAGAACGTAGGCCTCAGACTACCAAAGCATAAGAATGGTTGCCTTACTGCCCAGCAGCTAGGCTCTTCTGCAAGTGGGAAACCCAGGCTTAGCCATAGACATCTGCAGATCTCTGCAATGGGACTGCTCTGATAGAAAATATGGATATTTATGATAAAGATATCTACCTAGGAGCTAGTCTATGCAGGCTGCCTTTGAAGTCAGACTAGATGGTGTTGCAGTTATAGCCAGCGTTATCACCTTTTGGTCAGGTAAAAAGTTACTAGCAAGCCACTGAATATAAAAATATACAGGGATTCCACACCCTGCTTTAAATACCCTAATCTAAGCCAAATGAATATCATCCCTACTTCTGGCACATTTTTTTTGCCCAAAGTTTTGTCCAAGTCCCTAATCTCTGCATGGTTTTTCACACTTGGTGATTTCTCATGTATTTAGCTGGAAGATCCCTATTTAACCATAAGCATTCTTACAACAGAACTATTAATCAGGTCTTTCACAAAAAGTGATACTGTGAGGTGGTGAGGATGTCTTGTATACACATCCTTTTAGATCCACTAGACAATGGATACCATAAGTGTAAATTTGAACAGACTCTAATCTTCTATTACTAGAATAAATTTGTTTTAATGTTTTCACCTGAAAGTTAGTTCCATTTAACCTGAATGACTACATGGTCATTAGAAAAAGACAAATAAAAGCAGAGAGTAGTAGAATGGTAGAATCACAGTCACAGAATGGTTTGGGTTGGAAGGGACCTCTAGGGATTGTTTAGTCCAAACACCCTGACATAGGCAGGGACATCTTCCGCTAGACCAGGTTGCTCAAAGCACTATCCAACCTCACCTTGAACACTTCCAGGCAAAGTGCATCCATAGCCTCTCTGGACAACATGTGCCAATGTCTCACTACCCTCACAGTAAAAAAAAATGTTTTCTTTTGGTTTTTTTCCAATCTAAATTTACCCTCCTTCAGTTTAAAACCATTGCCCCTGTCCTGTTACAGGGCCTGGTAAAAAGTCCCCAACTTTCTGAAAGTACTGAAAGGTCACAACAAGGGTTCCCCACAGTCTCCTCCTCCAGGATGAACTACCCCCAGTTGTCTCAGTCTTTCTTCACAGCAGAGGTGCTCCATTCCTCTGTTCATTTTTGTGACTCTCCTTCAGTCCTACTTTAACAGGTCCATCTCTGTCTTGTACTGGGAACCCCAGAACTGGACACAGTATTGTTGTTATGCAGCCCAGGATACAGTTGGTTTTCTGGGCTCCAAGTGGACCTGGCCAGCTCTCATCCAATTTCTCATCCCCCAGAACCCCAAGTCCTTCTCTTTGGGCCTGCTCTTGATCCCTTCATCACCCAGTACTTCTGCTTAAATTCATTATCTTATTGTTAAATAGAGAGCTGAGGATATTATTCTCCTGGACACTTCTGCTCCTGGATTAGGCAGCTCAGCGCTCCCTAATTACCATCATCTGAGAAATCCTCACAGTCAACAATCCAGCCCTCAGGAGCTGTAGGGGGAACTTAAACACCAGACTCAGAATAGAGGCTTTAATATCACAGTGGTCCAAACATGCCAGTGTATAAGAGAATTCACAGCAACATTTATCACAGATCAGCTGGCAAATGCCCATTTGTTTCCTATCCAGTAGATTATTTGTATGCTTCTGACTTATTTCCCTCTGTGATTTAGCCACAGGTGACTAAGACATGCTGGGAAAACAGGATACTGTCTGCTCCCCTATACATTCTTCCATGCAGTCCAGATTCTTTAGACTGCTTTCCTTTCACAGCTCAATCTCTTAATTACTTCAAGTAAATATTTTTGTTATAAGAAAGCCCTGTGAATGTAAGTTTTGTGGATCTCTAATCTTCCTCTCAAAATTTAATGTGAAATTCATGAAAGTATAGTTCAAAAATAACTGCACTGGTTTATTGTAGTAGCAAAGGCCCATGCTCTATAATTGCATCAATTTTTATTGTTTTTATTCAGGTGAAGACAGATGATAGAATAATCAAAATGGACCTTGGACTTTTATTCCTGAAGCTCCATCGTCTGGATGCAGGGACTTACTTTTGCCAGACAGTGGAACACAGCATTGTTCACACTGTCAGGAAAATCACCCTGGAAATAGTTGAGGAAGAACGTGTAGATGAAATGTTTAATAAAGACTATGAGGAGGAGATGCCTCACAAAATGCCATGCCCAATGCAGAGCAGTATACCTCAGGCACCAAAGCCATGGTACAAGGAATTTCTTCAGCTAATAGGTTACAGCAACTTCCAGAGGGTGGAAGAATACTGTGAAAAAGTGTGGTGTACTGATAAGAAGAGAAAAAAGCTGAAAATGTCTCCATCCAAGTGGAAATATGCCAACCCTCAGGAGAAGAAGGCAAGGATCAGACCAGAGCATTACCGGTTGCCCAGGAACATAGCTGACTCTTGATGGACAAAATCCATCCACTGTTTCTGAGCAAAAGGACTTAGTCAAGAGGGAGAAATCAGTCTTGATTTGAGTAAATTACACAGGTTTATATATATAAAATATTGGGACTGAAAAAAAAAATGCTATGGTAAGTTATACTGTACACATGATGACTGTTTAGAAGCATTTTAAAGAAAATCTTCTCGGCTGTTTGGTTCTAAGTCAATGCATTAGGGAGGACGTGACAATCTTCAGATTTTGAGTGCTTGAATCAGTCTCCTGTGTGGACTGTGCTTGTGCTGTATATTGTTGCACATGATGGCATATTTAACAAATTTGAATAGCTAAGCATTCACAAATGAATGAAAAGTATAACACATTTCTTTGTTTCACAAATTTCTCATGCTTCTAAAAGTGGCACGTCTTAAGATCTTTCCTTTTGATTGTGACCTGTCTGAGTTTATCACTGAGAACAATGAGTTATGTTAATACAGTGTACTGCTATTTCTAAAGGTAATGAAGGGAAATCCTATTTACTTCCCACCATTTTTTTTTTCGTATCAATCATTTATGGAGTGCAATGTGGTCTCACAGCTAAATAATATTGCCTAGTAACTTGATGCAAGTCAAATGCATGCTGAGAACACAGGCAGAATGAAATTCATCAATTTATCTACACAAGAAGTTGAAATAATGGTTTAGATAGAAAACGAGTCCATCTTGTGTCTAGTACCTTGCATTAGTGATGACACGAATTAAGGGATCGCCCTCTTGTGGCGAAAAAAAGGCAAAACCTGATACTAAAACTCATTTTCTGAAGAAATGTGTATAAGCAGAAAAGTATTACCGAGATCCACAGCTGGTTTGTTTTCAGCAGACACTTTTAGTCTCCATGTGCTAAGCTCACAGATTTAGAAGGCAGTGTTGGAATTCATTTATACTGGAAAGGCAGCGTTTAAAGTAAGTGACGCTTTATGCTGTTAACATGCTTTTGGAGTAAAACGCAGTCATTAAAATTTGGGATGTAGATTAAAAATAAGAATAGCATTATGAAGCTGTGTTTCTACAGTTTCAGGACCTATTCCAGGTAAATCTTTTTCTGATATGTGATCTCTGGTCTACAGGGTTGCTTTGCTTTGCTGCTCTTGTGAGTGATACCAGGGGATACCAGGAGAGATCAAAAGAACTAAGTTGCTTACAACCTAGGCCTTTCAAGATTTACTATAAAGAAAAAAAAAAAGGAAAGAAAGAAAAAATAAGAAAGAAAGAAATCTTTCTTTAAGTACAAAAAAACAGATAACAGGTGCAGCAAATGCAGGAAAACTAATATTTCACTCTCTGAGAAATTTGATATTACAATATGAAATGTATATTGGATTTTTTTAATTGAAAATTTAAAAAAAAAAAAAGAAAGATAGGGAAGTTATAAACACAAATGACTCACGAATTAATTAATTCCTAAACTGAGAACATGATGCGAGTAATGGAAATTGCCAAGTAGATACAGATTTTTATGCCATCAAGAAAATATACAAGCGATTCATCAGCTCCAAAAAGCTTCAACTTCTAATTCAGAAACAGTGGAAATTAACAGCCTGGATAACAGAGATTCGTGGTTTGCTGTGTTAACAAATGCAGCAATCAGTGCTAACCTAGTGTTGTTTTCCAAACAGGGTGTTTGTGAGAGGAGTTCACAGCTGCTGTCAGGACCAGGGAGCTTTGCTGTGCTCCTCTGGGAGTAGAGACTGTCCCAGTGCTTGAAAAGAGCCCATGGGCACACTGTCAGCAACTGGGGAATAAGGAAAACAGTGTTATCACCTTGTGTGGGTGTAGCAGCGTTAAATCTTTCCATCAGCCTGTTAAGAAAAATCAGTTGGTCTGAGAGTTTGCACTTCATTTGTCTATGAGATGGGACCAGACACATCCTTGCATGAATTCATGCAGTTGCTAACTTTGATCTGATAGAGGAGACTGGGTAAATTCAGTTTTCTGGGACAGTTTAATGGAACTTAGTTGCAGTTAGGATCCTGTGTTTGTTTACAGCTGTATGGAAAGTGCTGTCTCTGAAGGCTGTGGCAGGGAACTTATCCTGGATTTATACTTAATCATCACTAACATCCTTGATAGAAAAAACATCATCTTAAAACACTACCAAAACCTTTTTCTGATGAATTATGGAATCCATTTCTTTTAAACAACAGTGGGAGTTATTTTTTTTTACTTTATGCTTAATTTGCAAGTATCTAGTGCAAATGTATCATAAATGAACTGTTAGAAAATAATGACAGCATCCCAGCCCCATGGAACAAATATAATTTTTTGTCTCATTCTCTGAGATTTCAGGTGGAAACTGTGATATGGACATCAGGATTTAATATGAAAGTGTATTTTTAGCTCCCCATCCCTTTAGTGGTTACATACGGAAAATTGCATTACACCTTTATTTACCTCTTAAAATTCAAATTTTTAGCTTACACCTAGTTCGTTTCATGGTTGCAATGCCTGTGAGAATTCAGAACTACAAGGTCTTGTTCAAAGAGTGCTCTGACACCTATAGAAGAAGAGAAAGAATGACAATGTATTTTGGAAGGATATGCACAAATGTGCTCGTACACAATGTTATTTAAAATGCTTCTTTGTATATTTGGGGGGCATTGTCTGCTTCTTTTCATTATGAGTTTGATGTATTTTGTATGTGCATGAGGTGGTCAAATTATAAATATAATTAAGAACCGTTTTTGGCTGAAATAATCTCTATTATTTCTTAGTATATATTTTCCCTAGACAGTATGATTATATGCAGGTCACACAGGGTTATTTACAGATGTCTTTCACCACGTATTTCCTGAGCGGAGAACACAGATCAGGACAGAAGGATCTTCATATAGAGTTACCAAGTGGGAAACTGTGGCTCAGGGTAACAAGTAGATTAAGTCTATTAATGTCAGGTAGATTTTGGGAACTATGATTAGAGTATTATCTGCTGCATGAATGCATTTTAAAAGTGGAACACGGTCGCCTAAACCCAGAAGATTCCAGCTGTTGGAAATTGATTGAGAAACAACAATTTGGATAAAGCTTTGGACTCCACCCTGTTTCGTGAGGAGGGAAAAGCCAGATCGCTTGGACTAAACACTTTCTTTGCTTTGCTCTTGCTCTTTTGTTGGCAAGGAGATTATTGTCACCTTGTGCAAACTATTGGGCTCTCCCATTCTGTTGGGACATCAAGGCAGCAGAGTGCTAACCTGCTGTAAAATTCTTCGCTTATATATCTCAAAATAGGCTTTTATGATACAAACCACTGTTTTGTAGCATGAAACAGATCTCTTTAGGCAGGTAAGAGAGAAAATAATTGCCCTACACCCAGCTACCTGCATAGTAAAGTTAGCAGTCATGTTTGAAGAAATGCTTGAATTAACATAATTTTCAAAATTATAGAGTTATTGAATTTCTCTTATTCTTTAATTTTCTTTTAAGTGGAGGGGGAGGCAGTGTTGGGGAAATCAATTTTCTTTTCCTCTAAAAGGTAGACAGTCAGTTTCCCTTTTTAAAAAGTCCAGTAATCTCCTTAGTCTACCTTGGAGCAATGAGGTTGGAGTTATTTATGCAACTTATGTCTCCGGCTCCAGAAGGCACAAATGCCTCTGAAAGCTGTGCTGTCCAGATAAGAAGCCCTGAAAGTGAGCTTTTCTACATCTGTGACCTAGCAGGATGCTTGCAATTCCTATCAGCCTTGGAATCCTGTTCACTTCACCAAATTGCTGTTTTTAATGGAAAATTCATGCCCAGTTAACATGCGTATTTATCATAAATGGAGCCATGATGGGCAAGTCTTGCCTTTGGGTAGTATTTATTTTTTATTTTAGCAATGAGTGGTTTTGGGCTTTTTTTAATTTTAATTTTTTGAGGAAATAAGTTATCTGACTAGCACTGTAAACAGAAAGGTGGCAGAGCTAGCAATGTCAAGTAAAGCTACCGGTCACTATGAGTTAATCAACTTTCTACAGTGATGCACACATTGAAGAACAAATTTACCAAAAGTCAACCTAATCCAACGCTGTAATCTCATTTCACAGAATGGTTTTGCTCCTTTGAGATTTGCCTCTCATGTAATGTTGAGCCAGGAAATATTTTGTTAAGCATTTGTGCACATGTGCTCATAATTTGCTGAAGTGAGAGGTACGGGACAGAGCACAGTTGAATGTAGTTGAAGCACAGGAGCCTTATCTATCTAATTCCTAGATTTCCTGAGGTTCTTATCCCTATCTAAAAAGAGAAGATTTAATTGCAGGAGAAGAAGCCTTGATCCATGAATGGTTTGGTGAGTCACGAATCCTATTTCAGAACTGAAATCTGTAGACTAAAGAGCCATTGTGACTAACTTGTTTCAGGAAATTACCCCAAGGGCAGACAACACACAGAAAACTCCTTTGAAACAAAACATCTCTTTACTTGCAATGTCTGTTAATTCAACAGCAGAATTTCATAGAATAGAATCATAGAATAGATTGGGTTGGAAAAGACCTCCAAGATCATCAAGTCCAACCCCTAATCCAACTCCAATTACTATATCATGGCACTAAGGGCCACATCCAATCT